TGGAAGGTGCTCCAAGACAGTAAAGAAAGAGGAGGATTGAGTGTCCCCAACTGGTATATATACTATCAAGCGGCCGCCCTAGTATGGATAAAGGACTGGGTTAATCTGGAAAATACAAGACTCTTAGCTTTAGAAGGGCATGACCTTAGCATGGGGTGGCACGCTTATGTATGGTATGGGAAAGACAAGATCCACTCAAATTTTGGTAGACACCTATTAAGAGGCGCGTTAAATAAAGTATGGGCTAAAACTAAAGGAATATGATATAGGAAAACCCCAAAATGGTTGCCCCATTGGAAGCCTTTATTATACCCTCAGCAATAACAATGAATCTAAAGGAAAGCTATCATACATTATTAAACAAAAAAAATGAGCTAAAAACAGAAGAAAAACTGAGAAGAGAAAATAACCTATCATGGTGGGAGCAGATAACGTTAAGAGATAGATTCAAGAAAGACGCGATAAGAGGATTTGAGGGCCAAAACAACGAATTAGACAAAATATGGCTGTCCTCAAACGATAAACTGATTCAGAAATTATATAATTTGCATTTAAAGGAATATATGAAAGATGAAGACGTTAAAAATGTAATGATCACCTGGGTGAAAGACATAGGGGAAATTGAGGAAGAACAATGGGCAACCATGTGGAAATCCGTCAAATATATGAAAGCGGTCGCCTATAAAGAAAATGTATTTAAGATGTTCCACAGATGGCACTGGGCACCCGCTAAATTGGCCAAATGTTATAGGGGGTATTCCGACAAATGCTGGAAATGTAAAAGTTGTAAAGGAACGTTTTACCATATGTGGTGGGAGTGTAATATGGTACAAAGATTCTGGAGAATAGTTAGGAAAGTCCTCCAAGAAAGCCTAGGTAAAAACGTAACATTGAAACCAGGAATATACCTGCTAAATATGATCCCAAAGGGTTACAACAAACAGGATGCTTATATAATTAGCTATATTATAACAGCAGCCAGGCTATTAATAGCACAAAACTGGAAATCTGAAAGTCTACCTACTAGGGAAGATCTGATATATAAAATTTTAGAGGTAGCCAGAATGGACGACCTAAGCTTAAAGATGCAAAATAACAATGAGACGGTACACAAAAGGAGATGGGATAAGATATATAAATGGATAGAACTTCAAACGGAAATGTAACTAGAAAAAGATGTATCAAAAATTATAATTTTGATTGTTATATGACCAACAGATTAGCTAAATAACTGGAAGTGAAAGACTCTGAGCGGAATTGTAAACTACTGGATGGAATGTAAATATGTGCAACTTTTTATTGAAAACAATAAAAAACTATAAACTCAAAAAAAGGGGGGGGGGAATTAGATAAGCATATGGAGCAGAGGTCCATCAGTGGCTATTAGCCACAAGGTATAGATAGGGGCTCTGGGGCAAGTGATGCTCTGTCTTCTTGGTGCTTGGGGGGGTCAACAGTGGGAGGGCTTCTAATGTCCTGGCCCCACTGGTGGACCTCCTGATGGCACCTGGTATTTTTGGCCACTGTGTGACAGAGTGTTGGACTGGATAGGCCACTGGCCTGATCCAACATTGGCATCTCTTATGTTCTTATGTTCTTACCCCAAGAAATTCCAGTGCCCAAGTAATACCCAGGACAGCAGGGCACTGGAAAAGATCATGAACGTGCTGGACGGGACACGGGGGCCGCAGAATGGATTGAATGCTCACTTCCTCAACCAAAGGCCTGGCGGAACAGCTCCGTTTGACAAGCCCTGCGGAACTGTACTAGGGCCCCGGTCACGCGGTGAATTTGCCACGCAAAAGGCACGAATGCCGGGCAGATTGTCGGGGCATGATCACAGCGCAACATCTGGCAAGCGTAGCGCACCCATGGCCAACCCGTGGCGTGCCGCCGAAGATGCGCAGTTAAAAAGTACCTGCAAAGTTCTACTAGCAAATGGTTTGCCACGGGCTGCAGACGGACTCGTTCGGTGTTACTGCGCCGGCGCGCGTCTATTCCCTCCGGCTGTCCTCTTTGCAGCGCGCGCCAAAGGATGAAACTCCGGTGCACTGCTGTCACGTCTGATCGCATAGTGGCAGATCAAAATGTGATGGCGCAAATAGCCAGACCTCCCCCCCGCGTTTTCCGGCACGTGTGGCTGGGGCCTAGGTCCTGCAGGGCCCTGATCTCAAATGGGAGCGTCTTCCACCAGGCCGGGGTGAGGGCCAAAATAGCCTTTGCCCTGGTCGAGGCTAAGTGGATGTTCCCGCAGGTACAATGGTCCCAGCCCACATAGGGTTTTAAAGGTCAAAACCATAACCTTGAACCGGATCCGGTACTCGATCAGCAGCCAGTGCAGTTGGCGCAACACCAGTTGGATGTGTGCCTGCGCAGGAGGCATCAATAGGCATGCTGCCGCATTCTGCACTAGCTGCAATTTCCAGATCAACCTCAAGGGTAGCCCTGCATAGAGTGAGTTACAGTAGTCTAGCCTGGAAGTGACCGTTGCATGGATCACTATAGCTAAGCCCCGGGGGGGGGGGCAAGGTAGGGAACTAGTTGCCATGTCTCCCAGGTACTAGTTGAACACTCTTAACCACTGCACCCCAATGGCTTAAAGGTAAAGGTTCCCTCGCTCGAAAGCCAGTCGAATCCGACTCTAGGGTTGCGGTGCTCGTCTCCGTTTCAAAGCCGAAGAGCCAGCGCTGTCCCAAGACGTTTCCGTGGTCATGTGGCCGGCATGATAAGCATATGGAGCAGAGCATGAT